AGAGGAAGGGGTGGGGGGGGGAGGGAAGGGGTTAGGGGGAATCGAACCATTTGGTATTCATTGTATGCGTCATCAGCGGCATTATACTAAAGGTCATCGTATCCATGAATCCCGGCTATCTTCATTATATCGGCAGCACGCGTTATCTGTGATGTTAAACACCTCGTAAGAAGCAGTGTCCCACCTTAGCCACGTGACACTGTACTCGGGGAGCCTCTCTGTCTACTGCACAACCTGTATGTAACGGACAGATATGTTTCTCAAGGCGTTCACGATCATATTATCCTAATTGATCAACACATTTCCTTCCAGATTACAAGGGAGCCGGTCGGCCGAGCGGACAACACGCGGGACTAGTGATCCTGTGGTCCTGGGTTCGATCCCAGGCGCCGGCGAGAAACAATGGGCAGAGTTTCTTTCACCCTATGCCCCTGTTACCTAGCAGTAAAATAGGTACCTGGGTGTTAGTCAGCTGTCACGGGCTGCTTCCTGGGGGTGGAGGTCTGGTCGAGGACCGGGCCGCGGGGACACTAAAGCCCCGAAATCATCTCAAGATAACCTCAAGATAACCCCTCAAGGTCACTAATTCATCTTACACGTCAACAAAGATCAGATCAACACCTTCGCTATCAAAGGCACTATGACGAAGTCTATAAATCCACTTGCTACTGTATCCAGCCCCCCATGACTGGTATTACATGAACCGCCTTTATGGTACAGAAGAGGCCACTGTATTCAGACTCGGCGCCCCACATTAGGACTGCCTCTATCCCCCCCTGTCCCCTCCCCCCATTGGCCATTAGCGCAGCACAGACCAATTAGCGTTCTGCTAAGGGGAGCGTCATCTACAAGAATTCCTTTCTCGATATTGGTAAAACTCGGGGGGCCCCACTTGTTGTGGGGGGCTGTGTGGGTCCACTTGTTGTGGGGGGGCTGTGTAGGTCCACTTGTTGTGGGGGGCTGTGTGGGTCCACTTGTTGTGGGGGGCTGTGTGGGTCCACTTGTTGTGGGGGGCTGTGTGGGTCCACCTGTTGTGGGGGGCTGTGTGGGTCCACTTGTTGTGGGGGGGCTGTGTGGGTCCACCTGTTGTGGGGGGCTGTATGGGTCCACCTGTTGTGGGGGGCTGTGATGCCCCACCTGTTGTGGGGGGCTGTGTGGGTCCACCTGTTGTGGGGGGCTGTGATACCCCACCTGTTGTGGGGGGGCTGTGTAACCCCCACCTGTTGTGGGGGGGGCTGTGTAACCCCCACCTGTTGTGGGGGGGCTGTGTAACCCCCACCTGTTGTGGGGGGGCTGTGTAACCCCCACCTGTTGTGGGGGGGGGCTGTGTAACCCCCACCTGTTGTGGGGGGGGCTGTGTAACCCCCACCTGTTGTGGGGGGCTGTGTAACCCCACCTGTTGTGGGGGGGGGCTGTGTAACCCCCACCTGTTGTGGGGGGGGGGCTGTGTAACCCCCACCTGTTGTGGGGGGGGCTGTGTAACCCCCACCTGTTGTGGGGGGCTGTGTAACCCCCACCTGTTGTGGGGGGGCTGTGTAACCCCCACCTGTTGTGGGGGGGGGCTGCGTAACCCCCACCTGTTGTGGGGGGCTGTGTAACCCCCACCTGTTGTGGGGGGGGCTGTGTAACCCCCACCTGTTGTGGGGGGGGCTGTGTAACCCCCACCTGTTGTGGGGGGGGGCTGTGTAACCCCCACCTGTTGTGGGGGGCTGTGTAACCCCCACCTGTTGTGGGGGGGCTGTGTAACCCCCACCTGTTGTGGGGGGGGCTGCGTAACCCCCACCTGTTGTGGGGGGCTGTGTAACCCCCACCTGTTGTGGGGGGGCTGTGTAACCCCCACCTGTTGTGGGGGGGGCTGTGTAACCCCCACCTGTTGTGGGGGGCTGTGGGACAAGTCAAGCCTTCTGTTCAACACTGTTCAAGTACTCTTGATATAAACCCCCGTATAGGGCTATAGGACTGTGCCAATATATAAACAGTTAAATAGAAAGGGGGAGAGACACACTTGGGATGTCAACACCCTCACCAGGATCCATCCGGCTTACGAAACCCGTACATCTTTCCCACAATCGTGGTGGTTTTCTTGACCTCAGTTATACTGTTGATGAGCACCGAGGCATTACGAAGTTGTTTTACAACAGAATCGACCTACGGATTGTCACGTTTCGAAGCCAGTTTAATAGTTGAATTAGTGTAAATAAAACCGCCCTGATCGCATTCACCTGGGGGGCTGTAGGAGACTCGAACAACTGCCCCCGTCATGATTGTTGACAGATGTACAGATGGGAATATTTTACGAATTTTGGGCCCCTGGGGTAGGTGTTTTTAGGACGACGTCTCACTACCCAAAACCTGCGAAGCCCTCGCGGCGTGAACACCTGCTACACACGCCAGACAATACCTGCTGGAGAGGACACAGAGAGGGGCACTAAACCCGTGCGCTGCGCCAGGTCTATAAGACACCACCACTTACCTGCAGAAGTAGTCCTGTGCCAGGTAAGTTACGGGCTCACCATAGCCCGTGCTACTTGCCCCGCTCCTGTGCCAGGTAAGTTACGGGCTCACCATAGCCCGTGCTACTTGCCCCGCTCCTGTGCCAGGTAAGTTACGGGCTCACCATAGCCCGTGCTACTTGCCCCGCTCCTGTGCCAGGTAAGTTACGGGCTCACCATAGCCCGTGCTACTTGCACCGCTCCTGTGCCAGGTAAGTTACGGGCTCACCATAGCCCGTGCTACTTGCACCGCTCCTGTGCCAGGTAAGTTACGGGCTCACCATAGCCCGTGCTACTTGCCCCGCCCCTGTGCCAGGTAAGTTACGGGCTCACCATAGCCCGTGCTACTTGCAACTTGTTCCGAGTAGCTGAATCTATAACAACAACAACATACCTGCAGTGTGTACTGAGCCGAGGTGACTGTGTGGTCGTAGACGATCTCCTCCTCGTTGTCGTCCTGGGTGGTGCCTCTGGTGGGCGGGGTCTCCTGAGGGCGGCCGTGGATCAGGGCGTCCAGGGCAGCCAATGACTGGGCCCGGGGGCTGAGAGGGGGCTGGACTGGCCTCTCTGACTCCTCCCCCTTGACCTCGCCCTCGTCCCCATTGGTCCATTCCCTCGTGGCCTGGTCGTCCACATAACTGGCTCTCGATTCCGTCTTGGAGACTTCGGACTCCACCTCCCTGAGTTCGACCTTATTGACTTCACACTCCACCTTTCTGGAGTCGACCGTCGCTTCTTTATCCTCACATTCACTCACCAAGTCGGGGAACAACTGACGTCGAACTGGGACCTCGTCGTGAGTTTCTGACACCTGGTGGTTCTCTTTCAGGTCCTCCTCCACCGTCTCGTGTTCCTTCTCCTTGAGATCAAGGTCTTCCTTGATCTTGCCCTCGGGGGAGTTCGCCAGCTTGAGGAGGAGGATCCTGTCGTCTTGCTGCGACAAGTCCTCAGTGCTCGACACGTAAACTGTCTCGGCTTTGAAGGCGTTCACTACCCCTGCTACCACCACCTCAGCCCCTCCCCGCGGCTCCTCCCCGCCACCAATGGGCGTGGCGTGGGGCGCAGTGGGCGTGGCGTGGGGCGCAGTGGGCGTGGCGTAGGGCGCAGAGGACGTGATGTGTGGCGCAGAGGGCGTTGTGTGGGGCGCAGAGGGCATTGTGTGGGGCGCAGTGGTTGTGATGTGTGGCGCAGAGGGCATTGTGTGAGGCGCAGTGGTTGTGATGTGAGGCGCAGTGGTTGTGGTGTGTGGCGTAGAGGGCGTGGTGTGTAGCGCAGAGGCCGTGGCGTGGGGCGCAGCTTGCGCCGTCGCCTCAATCCACCCACTTTTGTCACTGGAGGTCCGTAGGTCGTCCTTTTCCGGGACATTGTATTTCCTTTCTTTGGTCACTCTTGAGTCTCTCACTTTCCTGGTCGGTCTGACTCTCTCCTCTCCTCTCCCTCTCTGTTTCCCCTCCCCTCGACTCTCTTCACTGCTCTCCCTATGCCTTACCCCTGCTCCCCATCGCTCCTCACTACTCTCCCTGTGTCTTACACTACTATCTTCACTGCTATCTCTGTGTCTAACACTGTGTCTTTCTTCACTGCTATCTCTGTGTCTAATGCCGTGCGCCTCTTCGCCGCTATTAGCTCTGTGCCCTACAACGCGAGTCTCTTCACTGCTATCTACATGTTTTACACCGTGAGAATCTTCACTGTTGTCTTTGTGCGTTACACCGCGTGTCTCTTCACTGCTGTGCCTCGAGCCGCGACTCTCCTCACTGCTATCCCTAGTTCTCGTCTCTCCTACCTTGCCTCTAAGCCCCTTCTGAGGCAGCTCGCCCCTCTCTCTCCTCCTCCTGCTCTCCGCCACATCTTCCCTCCTCCTCTCTAATGCCTCTTCCCTCCTCAACCGCCTCTCCTCCAACTCTCTCCTCAGGTCCCGCCTCTCCGACGTCTCACTACACCCGGAGATCGACTCCTTCAGTTTATGATTGACTTCTTCAGACGTCTCCTTCGACTGACTGGGTTTACCGGGTCGCCTCGCCGCACTGTACAACTCACTCCGGTCAGTTTTAGTCAACGTTTCGACCTTTCTCTCTATGTCTTTCTCTTTAACCGAGTCCTTAATCACTACACTTTCACTCACGATGAGGTCCGCTTCCTCCTTCTTCTCTAGCGCGACAATCTCCTCCTTTTCTACAGTCTCCCCGGCAAAGTGCTCGTGGGCGGTACCGTTTTCTGTGACGCCTTGATGGCGGGAATTCTTGGCGCTTTCGGCAACGTTGATCTCTTCCTTCAACGTTTTAACCGCCGGGGATTGGCCGTCGTACGCGGCGTTCGGCGGCGTCTCTGATTGGCCCTCGCGGGGCGAACTGGAGACCTCGGATTGGTTGTAGTTCTGCGGCGGCGACCAGCCGGATTGGAGCGTCGCGGTGTCCTCGAAGCGGGTGGGGTCGACCAGTTTGGGTTGACCCTTGACCGGAATGGTGACCTCATCCTCGCTGCTGCTGTGGCGCTGACCCGAACGACCTGAAAGAGGATCAAAACGGCACTTTACTAACGGCTCCACCACGCCAGCACACCTGTGCACAGGTGTGGAGGGTCAACACCTGTACACAGGCACATATGATCTACACAAGTTCATATGTGATACACTTGTGTTATACACGACTTACACCTGTACACACATGACCTGCAACTGGTTATCTTGCAGTGGTACCGAGGATCAACGTCCCCTCGGCCCGGTTTATGGCCAGGTCTGCCTGCGCATATGACCTACACCTACACACACACCCGACACACGCAGCTACACACACATGGATAAGATTTCACATACATGACCTTACTATTTAACTACCCCCATTTTCTACGCCAGCACATAATAAAGGGGGAACTTGCCTATGTTATTGTTTGGATAAACTCGCGATTGTCTCTTGTCTGAAGGTTTGCTCTGTCTTTTGTTTTATTATTTTATCGCACGCGCGTGCGTGTGCGTGTGTCTGTGAGTGTGTGTATACTCACCTAGTTGTGCTTCCGCTCTTTGGTCCAGTGATTGCAGGATCGAGTCAAGCTCCAAGTCCCGCCTTCCGAACGTTCTTAGATTAATGCAATGATTCATTTCTCACGCTTTTTATCATATTTACATTTAAGGATCCTTGATTGTTTCAAGCGTAGGTTAGATATATATATGAATGAGATTGGGTGGTTATAAATAGGAGCTGTCTCGTATTGGTCAATAGGCGTTCTGTAGTTACCTTTTTGATAGTGAAAACGTTGAATCGAATTAGCTTCAAGGTCTTGTGCGTCTAAACTGTTCCACATATCAACAGTTCTAACTCTGAAAACATTTTTCATGATGTTCTTTTTTATTTGCGGCTCAAAGAGTTTCCATGTATCGTTCTGCCGTTATCTACCATGTATCTACATGATATCATGTAGATATCATGTATCTACATGATATCATGTAGATATCATGTTATCTACCATGTAAAAGTTCTACAATGTATCGTTCTGCCTTTATACAATGTTTTATCTACCTTGTTAACTTCCCTTAGAATCTTAGATGTTGCTATTATATCCCCCCAGGGAGGTGGTCGGCCGAGCGGACAGCACGCTGGACTTGTGATCCTGTGGTCCCGGGGTTCGATCCCAGGCGCCGGCGAGAAACAATGGGCAGAGTTTCTTTCACCCTATGCCCCTGTTACCTAGCAGTAAAATAGGTACCTGGGTGTTAGTCAGCTGTCACGGGCTGCTTCCTAGGGGTGGAGGCCTGGTCGAAGACCAGGCCGCGGGGACACTAAAAGCCCCGAAATCATCTCAAGATAACCCATACCTCTCCTTTCCTCCACAGTGTGGTCCGGTAAAATTGTCTCAGTTCAAGCCCTTCAACTCAGGAACGAGTCTTGTTGCAAATTTCTGGACCTTTTCCAGTTTCTCCTTGCCCTTTTTCAGGCAGGGACTCCATGCTGGGGGGGATGCATATTCAATTACCTTCCTCCACTGTATATAGGACTTGGAAAGTCCCCTTGTCCAACCTTCCTCCACTGTATACAGGACTTGGAAAGTCCCCTTGTCCAACCTTCCTCCACTGTATATAGGACTTGGAAAGTCCCCTTGTCCAACCTTCCTCCACTGTATATAGGACTTGGAAAGTCCCCTTGTCCAAGTTTCTGAAGGATACAAGGGTGTTGACCAGAATGGTGATACAACAGAATACAGCTGTTGTTATTCAGCTAATGTAGGCTACTGGCATCAGAATGTTGACCAGACTACACACTAGAAGGTGAAGGGACGACGACGTTTCGATCCGTCCTGGGCCATTCTCAAGTCGATTTCGGTCCAGGACGGACCGAAACGTCAGTCGTCGTCCCTTCACCTTCTAGTGTGTGGTCTGATCAACATTCTTTAGCCACGTTATTGTGACTCCTCGCCTGCATAATGGCATCAGATTTGGGGGTTATATCCACTATCAGGTCATTCTTCTCTGAAGAAACAGTTTCCCCTTAATTATATATATATATATATATATATAATATATATATATATATATATATATATATATATATATATATATATATATATATATATATATAGTGTCAGACCACGGAGGAAAATTGAAACAGGAATTTCCTAAAGTACTTTCGTATATTAATACATCTTCATTCCTTCTGAAGATGTATTAATATACGAAAGTACTTTAGGAAATTCCTGTTTCAATTTTCCTCCGTGGTCTGACACTGTCCCATTTTTAATCACGTGTTTATTTTCGTGACACACACACACACACACACACACACACACACACACACACACACACACACACACACACACACCACACACACACATATATATATATATATATATATATATATATATATATATATATATATATATATATATAAAACGGAGTACTGATCTTTTCACGCCTATTCCAATCCTCATAACTTGTTCTAGGTTAAACTCTAACAGCCAATCTTCAGACCACTTCTAGAATGTGTCCCAATCTTCAGACCACTTCTAGAATGTGTCCCAATCTTCAGACCACTTCTAGAATGTGTCCCAATCTTCAGACCACTTCTAGAATGTGTCCCAATCTTCAGACCACTTCTAGAATGTGTCCCAATCTTCAGACCACTTCTAGAATATGTCCCAATCTTCAGACCACTTCTAGAATATGTCCCAATCTTCAGACCACTTCTAGAATATATCCCAATCTTCAGACCACTTCTAGAATATGTCCCAATCTTCAGACCACTTCTAGAATATGTCCCAATCTTCAGACCACTTCTAGAGTGTGTCCCAATCCCTTAGCACTGCCTCACACTCTATCTCTGGCCTGACTCTTCTCCCCAGTTTTGCGTCCTCTGCAAATATTGACACGAAGGAACCAATTTCCTCTGTCAGGTGGTTGACATATATTTTAGAAACAGTGCGAGCTTGTGTATTTGTTTGAGCCCCGCTCCTGTGTCAGGTAAGTTACGGGCTCACCATAGCCCGTGCTACTTGCCACGCTCCTGTGTCAGGTAAGTTACGGGCTCACCATAGCCCGTGCTACTTGCCACGCTCCTGTGTCAGGTAAGTTACGGGCTCACCATAGTCCGTGCTACTTGCCCCGCTCCTGTGCCAGGAAAGTCCACTACGGGCTCACCATAGCCCGTGCTACTTGCCCTGCTCCTGTGCCAGGAAAGTCCACTACGGGCTCACCATAGCCCGTGCTACTTGGAACTTGTTCCGAGTAGCTGAATCTATAACAACAACAACTGCTTGTGTTTTTGCGTGTGTGTAGTCACATAGTTGTGCTTGAGCCATAGTTGAGTTGGCTAGAATTGTGTGTGTGTGTGTGTGTGTGTGTGTGTGTGTGTGTGTGGTGTGTGTGTGTGTGTGTGTGTGTGTGTGTAAGGGGGCCTGACAGCTGAGTGAACAGCGCTCGGGATTGGTAGTCCTGAGATTCCGGGTTCGATACCCGGTGGAGGCGGACACAAATGTGCAGAGTTTCTTTCACCCTGATGACCCTGTTCTAGCAGTAAACAGATACCCGAGAGTTAGACAGCTGCTACTGGCTGCTTCCTGGGGGGTGTGCAACAAAAATGAGGCCTGATGGAGGACCGGGCCGCAGGGACGCTAAGCCCCGAAATCATCTCAAGATAACCTAAAGATAACCAGTAATGGAGAGAACTCTTGTGTCAGGATTATATTGGGAGCGTGAGGTGTAAATAATGAAGTGTATCTGGGATGCACACACACACACACACACACACACACACACACACACACACACACACAGGGGGGTGTTGCGACACACACACAAGCACACTACTCACTCCACACACACACTCACACTCTCGACGCTATACTCTCACCTGGACCCGTACACCTTATTGTTGACATGTGGCGCGGCCCTTCACAGTCACCCGGCTCCCCTACTTTACCCTCATCTAGATCACTTTATACTTACTCACCTCTCACCAGGGCCACTTTATACTTACTCACCTCTCACCAGGGCCACTTTATACTTACTCACCTCTCACCAGGGCCACTTTATACTTACTCACCTCTCACCAGGGCCACTTTATACTTACTCACCTCTCACCAGGGCCACTTTATACTTACTCACCTCTCACCAGGGCCACTTTATACTTACTCACCTCTCACCAGGGCCACTTTATACTTACTCACCTCTCACCAGGGCCACTTTATACTTACTCACCTCTCACCAGGGCCACTTTATACTTACTCACCTCTCACCAGGGCCACTTTATACTTACTCTCCTCTCACCAGGGCCACTTTATACTTACTCACCTCTCACCCGGGGGGCCACTTTTCACTTACTCACCAGGGCCACTTTTCACCTACTCACCAGGGCCACTTTTCCCTTACTCACCTCTCACCAGGGGGACACTTTGTGATTACTTACAATTGAAGAAGTCGGCAAAGTGCTGTAGACTAAGACACATTGCTGCAGGAGAGTGGCCAGAGGACCATACATGGCCGCCCACATTTGGGCCACTTAACAGGGCCACAATAGTTGCCTGTGATCACCAGCGAAGGTCATTGACCCCTGGCCACTATGGCCCAAAGACCTCTTTCAGGAAGGGGCCACTATGGTGCTACCGGCCGTTTGTGGGACCACTTTCTTATACCTTTGGCCACTTCTTGGGCCACTATGAGCCACTTCCTGGGAGCCACTATGGTCTATGGCCACTTCCTGGGCCATTTGACAGCGTGGCAACTAATAAGTATCATTGTCCACAGCTTCCGAGGTCAGTGTCACTGGCCGTCAAGGTCACTCACTGGCCGTCAAGGTCAGTGCCCGTTAAGAGAGGTCACTGTCTAAACAGTGTGTTCGTTATCACCACAACACAAAGTTCTGGTACAATCAGAACACACTTCTTGAACACTGATTGTCTCACACTTGTATACACTAATTCATTTCCAATTAAATGTCTAGAAACTTATTCCGCTCGACAGATTTTCAGTTCATTTTTCCTATAAATAGGTAAACCCCAATTAGACGACGCAATTTAAAGCC